AAAAAAAAAAAAATATATCGTTCGATTTTCACCTAAGATTGTCGAAATAAAAGAAAATTTGATCATATTATATTATAATAATAAGATCGAAGAATTTTCTATGAAATCGTGTTGAAATATATCGAACAGAAATAATGATCATATGAAGATGCTGTGAAATGCATCTTTATTCTGAAGAGGATTAAATTAATGTATGATCAATGAATTTCTAAAAGGATTATCTGTAGTTATGTTGCGATTTAAATTATTTCTAGTCGCTCTACTACGTTTATTGTTAGGATAACCTTTAGAAAAAAAATTCAATAATCTCCAAAAAGAAATAATCTATATCTTTTTTAAATAAACTTACATCTTTTGATTGAAATAATTTTGTCATAGCAAAAAATGTTTCTGTTGCTTCCGTTTGACCTAATTGTTCTCCCTTAAAATAAAAATATTTAAATTTGTTTATTTCAAAAATAATTAAAAAAAAATAATCTAAATAATAACGAACAAATTTCCCCAAAAATGATTCAGTTTTCACCATTAACAGGAAAAAAAACGGAAATATTTTTTTTTACCATATCTGGCTGCAAATAACAGTGTGAGATAAGTCTTTAGTCGAAGAAAAACGATTTATTTATTCTTACTTGATTGATCATATAAATAATTTTTGTTAATATTTGAATACATTTTCGTGCATTTACAGGAGTTTCATTAAATGTACGAGCCTATTTTAAATAGATTATTTAAATTCAAAAAAAACCAAACTAAGTTTGATAATATACTTCTTGAAGAACAGATGTCTTTTCAAGATACTTATATGAATTTCCACTTGTCCCCGATTCTTCATCCTTTTTTTCCTGTTTTAGAAATGATGCAAGCATTGCTTTTGCTAATCACAGTTTATACAAAAAGGTCTAAATAGAACTTTTTTTAGGTTAAGATCCAACCAAAGCAATTTGTTGAAATTGACAACATGGACCAATCACATTATCCAATAAAACCTTGTATTCATTTCATATTCTTTTTTGAATAATAAATTCAATTGAATTTTTCAAAAGAAGAAATTTTCATAAAAGAATAAATTTTATTTTAATAATATTTAGACATATTTAATAAATGTTGCTATAATCGATTAGATCAGCGATTAACATTGAATATAACAATTCTTTCGTATCTTGTGAATGTAGCTTATCTCAACCGAAGAAATTTCATTTGAACAAATTTGATTGGGTATTAAAGAGAAATAAAGGGAAATTATTTTGACAAGACAAAGAAGTTTGCTTCATGAAGTTCATTAATAGAAAAATTTTATACAAAGTTAAAAAAAGCTATATTCAGACAAGTTGTAGAGCTAGAGCGACATTTTCAATTTTGTGATCGCTATAACTCGATGAAAACGAAACGGTTTGCGACAAAAATTTGACCCTTTTTTCATCTCATTGAGCAGAATAACATACCAAAAAATCAAGCAAAAATCTTTCTCCGTTCGAGAGAATATTCAGTTTTACTAACAAAGTGTAGAGCGACGTTAAAGTCATCGAAATTTCATTTTAACAAATTGTATTTAAACAAATTTCATTGAGTATCAAGTGAAGTGCTAAGGGAAAAAAATTTTGATACGTAAAATAATTTTACTAGCAAAGTGTTAATGGGAGTAGTTTATACACTAAGTTTATTGAAAAAATGGATGTAGCATATAGAAATTGGCTGTAATATCGTGAATCTCCACCACAGCACAGGAAAGTGTTGGGAAAATATTATTTTTATACATATTGGACATAGCTCTATTAAATACGACACTTAACTTTCCTTTATCATTAAATTTATTTTTTTCGATTTTTTTCCACAAACAGTACAATTGGCGCGCTTTTCACTTATATATATATATATACGTGTATATATCTAAGGAAGATTGTACTAGTTTCGATGTAGACAATTGTGTAAATAGGTATATGATGATAAATATTAAAAATTAGTTATTTCAAGGATTAAGAATAAAATACAAAGATGAATGAAGAA